TCGGTCCACATAAACTCTCAAAGGAAAACGCATTCGACGCATACACTTGCTCGCCAGTGAGCACCGAATGTCCTGCTCCCGCTTCACTCACGGCCATGGCCAGTATCTCGGCCATCGACTTTTCATTATCCACATACCGTCTAGTCAGCGCTATTAGGCCGTGTCTCATTTCCCGCAGATTGAGACGCTCTGCTGCAGCGGTCTCTGTGGGATGCAATTCAAAAAATTGTTGGAATCGCCAGTACCCCATCAGCCGCCCTTCCTGTGTATCCAGAAAAATAAACTGGTTTAGCATCATTTTTGAGATCGCCTTGGCCGACAGGTCCTGGCAGCCCTCGACAAACTGAATGTCGTGATCGTAGCTGTCATCCCCATTGAGCGCATGGCATGCAGCGTAATCCTCCCCTAATAGACGTCTCTGAAGAAGCCTCAGCACCATGATGTAGTATATAACGTATCGGGACGTGCACCTGTCGAGCAGTTTCACGATATTGGTAAACTTTCCATTTTTGTTGTAGTTGGTTCGGATTTGCACGCATCTGGTCTCCATGTCTATGAATATGTTTCGCTGTTTTCCGGCGTACGCCAGCGTCTGGAGTTCGGGGTACCGATACGGAGGCCCGGCTCCATATGAGCAGAACCGTCATTTTATCAATTGCATCGAGAACCGTGGTGATATGCAAGACTGTTGGTCTTGTTCGTGGAGATGGAAAGAGCGAAATGCGCTCGCCGGTAGGAAAAAGGGATTCTATTGAAAAGAAAGGTTCGCCCTTGTTCTCGACTTTCAGAAATCTACTCTCCAGCAGCATATCCCCAACCGTTTTGATTGTTCCCAGCAAGTACACCTTGTCTATTTCTTCCCACAGCTCGTCGAACTGCTGTTTCACCTCGTAGTAGAAGCTTCGTATGTACCCTCGCGAAAACTCCTTGCCCGCCACGCGCACGCTGTCGCTTCCGTAGTATTCGATGCTGTATCTCGGTGTTTTGTCGGCTTCTTTTGCCACGATTCGAAACAGCCTTCGAAGATGTCTCCATATCGTCGATCCGCCCTCCTCAAACGACTCCTCAGACCCGTTGAGCTGCTGAGAAAACTCACTATATTTTATCCACGTCATGAACGACTGCAAGTGTATGCGAATTTGATACAGATTTTCCACCGTCAATTCTCTACTGTCACTATTGCGCTCCAATGTCAGTGGCTTCATCCGAAGCAAAACGTGCACGAGGTCTGTCATGGTATCCTCGGCAAGCATCTTGTGGTGCATCTCATGAAGATACTCTACCTTTTCGGGAATGCGATGCGACTGCCCAACGCAGTCATTGAGTAGGTCACTGTTAACACTCAGTCCCCGTACATATTGCCGCAGTGGCATGCGATTTAGGTTGACCAGAACAAAATATGTTTCACCCATATCTCTTCCATATTTTTTGACGGTTTGGTATTGCAGTTTCTTGAGAAGAGGCTCTCCGTTGACCCGGTCCGCAAAACTCGGCGTCAAAAGACGCGATACGTTATTTTTCATGGCAAGGTCATAAGCATGCCGGAACATTTCTTCGCATTCTTTTGCGTAGGCTAGTCTCTGGAACTGATACTCTTTGAGAACTTCGTAGTCTTCGTCTAGCAGAGGCAGCTCTTCGATATGAAGCATCTTGAACACCATTGAATTATTTTTTGTAAAGAACAGCTTCAGCCCGCGAGTCTTGATGATCGCTGATGCAAGCGTCATCCACGCTGTTTAGATAAAGAAATCTGAACTTCTTGTGGGGGTAGTTTATCGGTATCACCTCGAATTCGCGTGCTTTTTTGATGTCAGCGCTTTTAGTACGCCGCTTCACCACTGCCTTATATCCATTAGGAGATCTATAGAACAGCTTCCGTACGGTGTCTGCGGTTTCGAAAAGCATTTTAGAAGAGCATGGAAAAAGCTCATCACTTTGGGCAGGAAAGAACGACAGATCTTGCAGTCTGTGAACCGCTATTTTGGCGCGTTCCTCTTTTGGCGGTCTTGCGAGGCCACGCGTTACGTTCACCACTTTCCTGCTCCCATCCTTTTCTTTCTTCACAACGAAGCCATCAACAACTGTGAATCGCTCTGATATCTTTTCAAACATCATTCGATGCTGGTTGTTTGGTGAGTCATTATGCTTTGCATGGTGGCTGCATAGATATTCTGTCGTCTGCTTACGCGATACGCGATTTGCTGTCAAAAAATGGAAGTGTAATTAAAGATTTACGCGTTGGCACAACAACGGTTTGTGTTCGTTTATTATGATACCGGACGTACCGTAGATCGTGACAACGCACTTTCTCCATTAGCGCCGTGTATCGCTATGCAAAAAATCTGCCAGAGTTCACACTCCGTGCTTAACGATTAATGCGCCATTTCTCAATAGATGCATGTGATATCTGCTTTAGCTATATCTCTGTGAACTCAACTTTACGTAGTGCTGAACTGCGACAGTATCTTCCCGAGCTTTGATTCGATCTGTAAGACATCTCTATTTGTCTCTAACTAGTTTATGCCCTCAATATTAATGACATACAGCGACTCCTGCGAGATTGAAGTTACATTCCCATATCTCGAACATTTGACCCAGAGTAGTCCATAAATACATTTATTCTACCTCTTTCTATCTGTTTCCACAGTATCATCTTATTTCTGGAAAGTTTGATATTGATTGTAGGCATATGCAGCATCGCGCGCAGATATACGCAAATAGCATACTAAACGGCTTGAAGATATAGCCAAGATTTCTTCTTCGAGCGCGTTTGAAGTGATGTGTCCCTTAGTTCGTATTTGTAAAAGTATATGTGTTTCTACGTATTTCAAAACCTCTTAATACTGGACGATCTGAAAGGTCCAGATTACTCAACAGTTGGATTTCAGTAGACTCTCCGACTGTTCCACTTCTTAGCATTATAGAAGTACCAGGGGAAATATCAGAAGTAAGCCAACATTCACACGGTCAGCCACGCCTTCATACGTGGGAATAGAAACCAGTGAATGTGTTGAACCAGTTAGAACGCTTAAAGAACTGGTTTCTTGAGAAGCTGTGAATCGAGAGACCAATGTGCCACCATTTAAGGTTGAATCAGTTGTTGTGTAAAAGCCGCTAATTGAGGGTACATTGTTCGATGTGCTGATCTTTAAAGATGTTATTTGAATTGCGGAGGCTTCATTATCATTAGCACTTGTTGTCGAGGAGGAAACAACTTGGGAAGAATAAGAAGTCAAGGTGTTACTCATATGCTCTTCAACTCGAGATTCAGTCGACCCTCCAACGTTTCCAGTGGGTATGTTAGATGTTGCAAGTGGTCTTCTGGAGCTCGATGGCGTGGCTACACTGCTAACAGTCGAATATCCATCCTTAGTATTGATTGACATGATTGTGGTTTCCGTCCGATATGGCATATCCCTTGATGCATTAGTCACCGAGGATTCCAAGGTATTAGAGGCTGCAGGGTAGTTACTTGAAGAAGTTGTGGTCAAGAATACAGTGGTGGGTTCGGTCGAAGTTGAAGCAGATTCTTCTGTGGTCGTATTCCTGAAGAATGCAGAAGACGAAACTCGAGAAGAACAAAAATATGACTCAGTGGATGTACTCAAAGTGTAGATGGTAGTAGCAGTAGCGGGCTTTCCATCACTGTTGGTAGAGCTGTAGGAGAAGATCTCGGTGAAGGTGCTACCATCAGTGGTCTCGGTCGTGGTGTAAGGAGGTGGAATGGTGAACACGCTGGTGCTCGAGGTAGTCGATCCACTAGTGGATGTGCTCAAAGTGTAGACGGTAGTAGCAGTAGCGGGCTTTCCATCACTGTTGGTCGAGCTGTACGAAAAGATCTCGGTGAAAGTGCTACCATCAGTGGTCTCGGTCGTGGTGTAAGGAGGTGGAATGGTGAACACACTGCTAGATGAAATAGAATTGCCATATGTAAACCATGGAATTTCAGGGCACGCTTTGCATTCATTAGGCATTTCATCGGATACCGCTCCGTTATAATATAGACCACCAGAAAATACTGTGCCTACCCCATAGCCATAATTCGCATTAGCAGTATAAAATTTAGAACTGTCATAACCGGTTCCAATATCTAAAGAATACCTGTATGATCCAACACTCATTGTTAAAATACCGCTGGTTTCATCGTAGCTGAAACTTGATATTGCAGTACTGGAACCTATCACATTACCATTTTGAAAACCTCTAATTTTAAAAGTAAAACCAGGTGGATATGCATCGATTCTGAGGCTCGAAGAGGTGGACGACATGTATATGGTTTGGCCAGAGAGCTTTCTTGTATTGGTATTTGTTACCCACATATTACTGTTTTGTCCAATATTGATACAACCATTATTTCCAGTTATAGTACTTCCTTGGAAATAGAGAGCATTAATCAAGCAGATAGTGCCGTCATTGGTAATGGTGGAATCGTCCCTTCCCAGATGCATCGAACCTCCACTTCTTGAAACTGTTTGTGAATACATTATAATTCCTTCATTAACAAATGTCGAATATGGATTAATCCAATATGTTGAGCCGCCAGTATCTCCTCTGCCGTTGAAAAACAGATTACCATAGTTGTAGAAAGCTGCCCCGCTCCAGTCATAAGTTGGGGCGGATGTTGCATTTCTATTATCAACCACTATTATACCATTGTTTGTTACAACGTTTTTCGTCCCAATAACATCCACTGTAATACCGGAATGCCGTTTATTATAGTCGCCAATATAAAGGGCACCATTGACAGTTAAATCAGAGTAGAAGTTGTGTGTGTAGCCGGTGATTATTGCAAGATATGCATTTTCATCGATTGTTACTGCGTCTGTATACAAGGTGTCCCCTTTGTTGACAACTGTTTTACTCGTTACTTTCAAAGCATTTGTGAACACGGTTAGGCAGCTGCTAATTAGCAGCAGTAAATTTAACCTAGTTGCTTTCATCGTAAATGTTACTCGGTAAAAATCTTTTTTAAACGTGTACACAGATGATGAGCCAAAATTATGGTTTAGCACTCCAAGTGTTCTTGTAGTACGAGATTAAATACTATTTGAGACATAAGACTTTTCGAGCTTCTGTAGTCCTTTCTTTCCGAATAAGTATAGATGGTTCCATTTATTTTTAGATGTCAATATCCATAATAAACTGTCTCGGAAGTTGGGGTTGAGAATTCCTTCCTAGAGATACCGAAGTCGATAAACTTTATTCGAAAAGCAACAACTTAAACGCACCACACCATTAATCAATCGATATTTCCGAAAACAAAAGACATGCTTTCTCAATATTCACTAGGCAATAGAATACAACGAAATGCATTTCTAAGCTTGCCTGTACAATTATTTGAGAAAAGGAGCGCATATTTTTGGAGTAAGATTTTTTCTAGACCAAGATATCCCAGATATCTTTTTGTCAACGATATTGACTTTACCACTTTGATACAGAATCTAAGTTTGGAAGTAAGAAAAAATTAGAATGAAAAAAGCCGCAGGCACAAAAAAAGTCACTCGTCCGCAAAGTTCGATATATTATTCTTACGTAAGGTTAAAACTTTTTCAGGTTGGGTAAGTTTTCGAACGAAAATCATGTGGAAAGTCTTCAAAGAGCTGCGTGTAATAAAATATCAGCTCTTCGGGGAAAGGTGAAGATTTGATTCTATTTTTTGATAACCCCCGATTTAACTCTCTTGGAGGATTATAACCTTGCAAATCAAGACTGGAGGAGAATTTAGATCTATTGAAAAACCCTAAAAGTCATTAATGGCAATTTGAAGGGTGTTGCGACAATTGTGGCCACTACCTTGGTAGTAGTATGTGAGGTACGAGGTATGGCTTAGTGGCGTACATATTTTATCCTATTTGCTATCATTGACTCAGAAATATTGGGTTTTACAAGCATCTATGATTGGTTCAACAATAAGTGGATCCGAACCAGAGCAATCTCTCTATTTTAGGCGACATTTGGCCCAAGCTGAGAATTGCTATCGAGTTGAGTCTCAATGTCGTTCGTCCGCACTTATCGATTGAAGAACTATTGGAACATGGAACTAACTATCGTAACGTATATAAGTAACCGACGCAAATGTAAAATTTTACTATATCCTGGAAGTCTTCCTTGGTTACCTGAATCTGATGTCTTATCAAACGGCTACTCTTCTAGCATCTCTTTAGGCATGGTCTCGAAAGTTTACTTTTTCGAGTACAACTCTTCTCATTCTATTTTGACTTTCTTCATTTTAAGGTAGATCTTCTTCGTTTAGTTGGTTCTTAATTACAAGCCAATCTGTTTGCTGCACTGTATTTGAAACGTTCAATTCGAACTGATGACGTCCAGAGTCAAATAACCTGCCCAAAAAATTCAGTGATTAGAGATAACATCGCTTTAGGCTACTATGTTCTCTTATTTCAATCCAGAGACAATCAGAGTCTGGTCGTGATTTGTGTCGCGCAGTATTCAAAACAAGCCAAGAACCATTGTTGTTCGGCATTTAGCACTTTCACTAACCCTTGTGAATGTAAATAAAACTTCAAATGATACTATTACAAAATATGGCACGTGCATAGGATAATGCCGATAGTGGATAAGGAACATGAAAAGAACGCAAATAACAAAAAAATTATCATCACATACTTAGAGCAAAATAGCCTTCAATTATTTACTAATCAGTTTTGTTTTTTGGCGTTGAGTAAAAAAGGTGACAAAAAAGTCCATTTTAGCGCGTGAGCTGAGTAATCATGAAATAGGAGCTGTATAGTTATTTTAGGTTAGTATTGCTTCTTTAACGTGTAATTCTCATCCCAAATTATATCCAAGATACAAAGCATGTGTCTGTTAAGAAAAACATAGAAACTGCGATTTAACTATCACAGGTAATCCAGAATTATCAATATTAACAACTCATTAAATCATTGAAACTTGTGGAAAATGATCTATTTTGTTCTGAATAATACAATGAGTAGAAGTGCCCGATAATACTGGAAACTCAATGGGAAAGAGTACAAAGAAAAAGAGTACTTTAAACTGTGTAATACAGAACATAAGCCGGATCTGATAATCACAAGTACGCTAATAATGTAAGACTGAAGATGCAAATGTTGACGGAGAAACGGAGGAAGCAGAAGAGAGAGAATGGTCAATCCCTCTATCCAAAGCGGTGAGAATGTATTCAAAAGAAATTGTATCATCTCTATTGCTTTACCTAACTTTTTAGAGAAGTCTATGGGGCAATTATGGCAAGCGAGTACACGGTGGGGGTCGAGTTATTATATATAGATTGTTTTTGTTTTATATAAATATATATATTATATTAATAACGTACCTTTTGTATAATGGGTCAGCAAGTAATTAATAGGAACATCATTAAAAATAACATTATTTAATAAATTTAACATAATTGTTTTTATATAAATCTTTTAGACTTTTTTGTCTATTTATAATATTTTATTATGCCCTTAATGAGAATCCGTCTGACAGGGACACCTCTATACACACGGAAAACTGCCCTTTAAAAAATTGCAAATCGTCCCTATACAGATCTTTTACGGCTCTGTTTACGTTTTCAGTATATCCAATGACAATATAAGAATTTATTCCGTCCAACTTTCTGCTTCTTTTCTTCAACTTCGTCATCCGTCCAAACCCAAATCGTTCTAACCAATCCCTAGACCCGCTGCTTTGGAGGTACGTAGCGGTTGTTATACTGAATAGTTTTAAGGCTTTTTTGGACGTTCAACCAAACATATGCTCCCGTACCATTGACTCGTAGAGGTCATATTCACTGTCTTGCTCACATAACTGGCGCAATAACTGACAGATAAGTTCGCAGTTAAACAACTTCGGGCTCTTCCGTCTCAAGTAAATGTCAAATTTTTCAAATGCAACCGTCCGGCCCTTGGTAGCGTGAGAAACGCGTATCGTCTCAATGCTCCGTGCACAGTTCCAAAGCTATTGTACTATCATGAGCTCCAATTCCCTCTATGTAACTTAAAAGCACAGGATTACAAAACTTCGCATTTGGGACCCAGTAGGAAAATTTTCATCTATCGCACAATGGTCAAAAAGTAAAACAGAATTATTGCGGAAAAGCGCTTCCCCAATAGAGCGCCCAAGAAAAATAATAATTGCTTTTTTTAGAAAATGATTAGGCACAGTGCAACATATATTGCCTATATAGGGACAAAAAATTTGAAGGTGACTGTTTTTATGCACATCCGTGCCTAAAAGATATTAAAAAACAGCTATGTTAATAATTCCTTGCCATTCAGTAACACCATAAAACATGATTTTGGCTAAAGCAATTTTAAGCAGAAGATCTTATAGATTAGACTCTGTTTAAAGAATAGTACGCTTTCAAATTTTGCCCTAATAATGCAATGACTTCAATTAAATGTCATGTGTTTCTTGATTCTCGTTTATGTATTGAACGATGTATAATGTTTTATGCGCCATTCGGTTTTTTTATTGCTCTTTGTCATCTCCTTAGTACAAAATGGCAGCGTAAAAAAAAATGCTTTCGCATCTGTTATTCGTAGAAGAGTACTTTCTCGGGGTTTTTGGAACAGAATATTAGCATATGACGTTTGACAGAATGATACGTACAGTGCTTGCAAGTAGTTTCAGGCACCATATATTCATATGTTATTTGATGTCTAAGAGAAATCAATAACTGGTGTCTAGCAACTGGGTCAGTAAGAACTGTAATGTTGCTATTTTTGGAGTTGAATAATCGAGCCCAACAAAATCAATTTTGGCCATCATGAATAGTTTTTAGCTGAGAAAACAATCACTATTTTGAACTTCTTCCCATATTAGCGGTTATTATCAATCGACATGGCTCTGGCATACTGTCTCCAACTTTGCTGTTAGTTCTGAGTTTGATTTGAATAACACGAATGTAATTTGCAAGCGGTCATTATTATATTTAGTTTTTTTATTTGAATATTAGTCACCGATGAAAGATAATCTAACTTAGAAATATTAACCCTCTAAGAGTCCTCAAAGTCTCTCGAGAAAATGTAAGTTAATGGCACCATCAAACTCGCTATTAAAAGGCAAGGGATCACTTTATTGGTTTCGCGAATCTCTTCTCAATAGTGCTAAATACAAATATAATGATGTCGCTATCCATAAGCATTTCGTGAACACTAGAAATAGTAAATAGGAAATTTTGCAACTTGTGAAGGCTTTGTTTTCTGTGCTAACTTCTATCAGGGTGCAGCTCAATAGTTTCTACTTGTTCCAACTTGATTTTACTGTACATCTTTATCAAGTTAAAGATCTACAGCATGATGAACAATTAATTGATTTCAAACTTAAATTAAGGTCGCTTTGCTTATTTCAAAAAGCTAGAATTAAGCGTTAGTATGGTTCTAATTGGAATTTTGTTACAAGGAACTAAGCAACAAATTATTTTTATATTTTAAAACAGTATATTAAAAAATATTACAATAACTGCTTGCTTAAAAACATTCTTAAGACGTTTAATTAATGTAAATTGTCATTATTTATCCTTTAAATGTTATTCGCTCAGGCTAATAAAGTAATTACCATCGGTAATTCAAAACAGATTTTTTTACATTGTGCTTATGAAGAAATCATTTCGACAAGCCACTAAACTAGATTATTAGTTATGTTATTCGAAAATACCAATTTAAGAGAAATATACTTTTAAATTCTTGTAATGCTCCCAAGATTTGTAAATGTACAGATAACGGGGAAATGACAAGTTTTATTTGCGGAAATGGCACTCCTTGGAAATTATTGATTACCTAAGAAGATCATCGCAGTCAGTGCGAAAAATGTCGTTTTATTCTTCGATATTATAAAACTTACATCACTTATAATAACGACCTGATTTCAACGATCTTAAGGTGGTGTTAGGGTATACAACTTATTCTGGTTGGAAAAGCACTGAAAGTGATTGTTGGGCTTAATAAAATCAGAACTT